AATTAAAAAGTACACAGCATTTGAGGTCGGTATGGAATCTGGCTGTTAACTCTACAAAAACTGACCCCCTTCTCCCCAAAAAGTGGTGAGAGTGAATATTTGTCACAAGTTAACAGCCTGTGAAATTTTTGTTTCTGCTAGATGCATTAATAAAAGGTCATCCAAATTCTTAGGCAGGAATTTCTCTTCCCTTCTTTTTGTTGCGTGTCTTACACACCACATTCGACCCACAGGAACTTGGAAGAATCAACTGCTAATTTATGCTACATTCATGTCAGAAGAGGTGGAAAAGTTCTTAGAACAGGAGCCATAGTAACAGAAAACCAAACTGCTATCAATAAAACTGAATGGCAGTCAGTGGACAATATTGATTGACTGGGGGATACTGATGAAAGAATTTGGTTTGGAACCTTAACTTGTAGCAGTGCTAAGTTAACTTCTGTGAATGTCATAATGGAAAAATATCAAAGGCTAGAAACTGAGGGGTCGGAGATGCCACATCCACTTCTCCAGTGTCTTGGGAGATTTGAACTTTTTTTTTTAAACACCTAAAATTAGGTCATGGCACTGGATCTCGACTGCCAGCAGAGGTCCCCAGTCTGAAGGAAGACAGTCCTTCCCCTCCTAGTGCTTTCTGTTTCGGCTACTCATGTGGTAGACAAAAACCAAGTTTGTGATGTTTGAGAGGTGAACACCTCTGGCCACTAGTAATCAAGTGTTTAAAGAAATAAAGGGAAACTAGTAAAAACTGGAAAGCTCAAATTTACATGATCAGAATGTTTATAAAATAAATCTGTGTAATGAGAGGTGACCAGCAGGCCTCTGTACATGTGCCAGAATGTGGTGGAAGAGAATACGCTTCCATCGACTTTTTAAAGTGTACCGAAGCCACGTAACCCCTCAGCAGGCGTGACTCTTGCCAAAGAATACCACGGAAAGAAAAGAGTTTTTTCTCTCCCATTACATCTCACTATATCCTGTTCTTAGGTCACTGCCAACCAACAAAGCAAAGCTTCCAGCAAGTTGACCAGAAAAAAAAAAGGCGGGCGGGGGACTGGAGGGAAAGACAGGAGACAAAGAAGAACAAGAAGAGAAAAATACAAACCCCTTTCTACTGGCCCAACACAAAGAGACTTTCCAAACCACTGTAGATGTCGCAATGACACACCTAGAGAAGTCGATGTACAGTAATGGGGGGCAACAACACAAGGAAGGGCCTTGGCATCCCACATCACTGAGACATGAAAGCATATTTAACTTCCTTGATTTCTGTTTACTTTAAATTTAGCCCACTGCCTTTGGGGCCTGTCCAGAACCACTCCAATCTCCTCAATGGCCAAGTGACTTAACGTCTGTGGAGTGACTGGACCACATGCACATACACACGTGTTCCCCCTGTGCAGGATGTCTGGGTGTATGTACGAAGGCACTAAAGCGGCTTTAGAGAAATTGCAGGCAGCAACCCCACCCCTCTCCCTTTACCTGCCGAGCGGGAGTTTCTTTCCCACTGGGAAACTTAGATGTTGAAAGAAGCTGTGGTCATGCTTGGGAATTCTGAAACCCGGCCCCAGGAGGGAATACAAAAGGAGAATTCGACATCACCAAAAACTGAAAGGAAACACTCCACGTCTCTGGCTAAGGGATGGGGATAATTAAGCAGCAGATCTTCAAAACAGCTATTAAAATGAGCACAACAGTAGCTGGGAGCAAAAAAAGTAAAATCACTTGTTCCTTATTAGATTTTTTCTATTATTTTGTCCTTCTCCCAAAACAAATGGAGGTAAGACAGACATTCTTCATTAATAGAACAGTCCATATAGTTTTCCTCTAGTAAATGCCTATATTTAAAATTTGTTCCAAAAATTATTAACCTATATTTCCTAACTCTTTACATAGATTCTCAGCAATCCAACCGTACTATTTTACAGATTAGTTACTTTTTTTTTTGTAAGCTGTTGTTTCTTTCTTCCTTTCTTTTGTTGCTAGGGCTGGGGTACAGGGAGAAGGGTTCCTTTAAAAAAATAAAAATTAGGGGAGATTTCAGTTCAGTCTTAAATGGAAAGGAACAAAGTGATGGCATTTCCATTTATAAACACCAAACACTCCCCCACTAAATTACACACAATTTAAATGAATCCATGTTAGATCTCCTATAAAGCTGAATCCTTCTCCCACATTTTTTAAGATAATGAATTTACCTGTTGCTGCTAAATTGATAATTTTTAAAAAATATTTCTTTCTACATGTTTTAAAATGTGTGATCCCCAGTATGACAATAGCGTTTGGAGACTTTTCTTTTTTACATTTTTTTAAGTAAAAATTGTTTAAACTTTTTGAAGTTTCAGGAACTTGTAAAAGTTTATTAACAGGAAAGAAACAGCCGTCTATCTAGGATAAGACATGGTTAAATAAACCATCTTCAAAAAACTGGCTTCCTACCCTAGAATTCCTGAGAATGCTTGCAAATTTTAAAGCAGGAAAATAAATGTTAAAAACAAAAACAAAAAACACTGTTAAATGCTCCCAGAGTTAGTCTTCATCTAAAATATATATTTATATGTATATATATATGTCTATATATATATATACGCACTTTTTGGTCTTTTTTTAAAGTTTTTAATTTTTTTCCCTTTAAGCTTATGATGGAAGAACATTTTAGCTTCTCGTGTTTATTTTTACATATTTCAAATCCCTCATTATGTCTTGTAAACAAGAGGGGCTCTAGCACCCGGCTTTCACCGTAGTATCGTAAGGAACTCAACTAACCCATAGTGCAGGTCAAGGAACCAACAGGCAAGAGAAGTGGAGGGTGGAGCAGGACATGGCAGGAAACCAAGAGTGGCAGTGGACAGGGTCGCCACTGGCTCGCGGGAGCTTCGGGACATGCTCCTGGCCCAGGGCCACTAAGACTCAGCCTTCTGTGGATGTCTGAACACAGCTGCTCTTCGCCTGGAGGTCACCACATGACAGGGGTTTGCTCCACACACGGAGAGCTGTCAGTGGGGGCTGGGAGGAGACAGTGTACGTGGCAAAGGTGGAAGGGGCATGGTGCTGATGAAAACCGGAGAGCAGGAGGGCACAGTTAGTTTTCCACAAGGCATCCAATGGGACCAAACCAACGGTGGAAACTCGAGTTTGACCACCTACCCACAAAGGGTTCACAAAGACGTGTATGAGCGAATGCTCACTTGAATTTCGCATGTCAATCTCTTTTGAGGCTAGGTTTATAATAAACAGGGTAGGCCGAGAGGACTATAGAATTCTCATTCTGTCTCACAAAACCACTTAAATGCAAATAATTCGTTTTTGCCTTTTCCTACACACGCCCACCCACCCACCTACACAGAGACACAAGCTAAAAGTCAAATACATTAGGCATTGTTGTATCCTTCAGTGAAGATGCTAAAGAAAGAAAAACTCCTTTGTCCTCACTAGCAGCAAGTTATGGAGGACAGTAGAGGTCTGCTCCCACCAAGGGTTGGAATGGGCAGGTATTTGCTGGTACAGAATGTCGGCACTTTATGTTAAACAGTGTAATGCAGATTGGGGTGTCCACACAAGTGCTAGCATGTTACCGGCATATGTCCCCCTCTCCCCCGCCCCGCCCGCCATCTGCTCTGTATAAAGGGGTAC